GGGCCGGCCCTGCTAGAAAATTTAAAATGACATAGGTGGCTCGTATTTATTTATGTTGGAAAGCGCTGGTGTAGATGTGGGACCCGGCAGGGATCAGATTAGACAAGAATCTCTGCCGTGGTGCCCACGTTCTAAACGGAGGAGACTGATCATAAACAAGGACATAACTGGTCTGGTCCCAGCCAATTCACCTCTCCCCAGAATTTTAACTAGGGAAGGAAAGAGGAGTCGATGGGAGCAATGGGAGGGGACTGAGAGACAGGGAAAGAGGCAGAGGGAAGTAGAAGGAGAAAGACAGAGAGCAGGAGAGACGGGGGTGGAGAGTGTGCCATGGGGAGCAGCTTGGCTTTGACCTTAGTTTCACAGCCTTGCTATTCCTGAGAGAACTGTTTTCCTCGGAGCCACCAAACACACTCCTCCTTGGCAGCCCCCAACCCCAGCCCGCCCTGGTTCCCGTGGTCCAGGACCCAGCAGGCTCACTTGGACGTTGAGCTTGCTAGGAAGGCAGAATCTCCGGCTCCACCCCAGACACTCACAACCAGAACCTGAGCTTCAACCAGATTCCCCCAACCACCCCCCCCGACCCCGGCAAGTCCTAGGCACTCACAGTTTGGGAAGCTCTGGTCTAGAATGTTCTGCCCGCTTTTCCCCTCACTTACTTCTTTCTTTCCCCAAAGATTTCAGATCAAGGTTGCTTTCCCCAGGAATCCTTCCTTGACCCCCTCTAGACATGACAGTTATGAGCTGTCCTTGGTCCCTCCTCTCTCCCTAGTGGTATTTCTCTTAGCTGGGGCAGGGGTGGTGGTGAGGAAGGGGAAAGGGGAAGGTTGTGATATGATTAACACCTTTGCTTCCTCTGCCTGCTCCTAGGGCAGGATCCATATCTGCCTTTTCAACAAAGGGCCAGGAGCCCAGCATACAGCTGGCAAACAGTGACATTCAAGAGTCTTTTATAAAGAAAAAAATGGATAGATCAATGATGTGTGGTGGATGGGTGGTGGGTGGATGAGTGGTAGATAGATGGTGGATGGGTGGTGGGTGGATGCGTGGTGGGTGGATGGGTGGGTGGATGGGTGATGAGTAGATGGGTGGGTGGATGGGTGGTAGATGGGTGGGTGGATGGGTGGGTGGACAAGTGGTGGATGGGTGGTGGGTGGATGGGTGGGTGGATGTGGGTGGATGGGGGGTGGGTGGGGAGGTGGATGGGTGGTGGATGGGTGGGTGGATGAGTGGTGGTTGGATGGGCAGGTGTGGAGTGGGGAATGGATGGGTGAGTGGACTTCCAAGTTTGGATCTTTTCTCTTCAGTGTGGTGTTGGCAAATGAGGAGGTGGCCAGAAGAAGGGCTTTGGCAAAAGCAAGCAAGCCTCTCCCCTGCTTCTGGAGGCGAAAACAAATAATTGCCAAGAAAGTGGTTAAATTATCAAGATGACATGAAATCACACCTCAACTGTGAATCACAGTAGCCAATTCAGTGCAGGTTCATCTTGGAGATGGAAAGGAGAGTCTCTGAGCAATCGTCATGACCTCTGGGGGGTGGGGGTGGGGGCTGAGGGACTGGTGGGGCCCCTGGAGCTGCGTGTGGGAGGATGCAGGAGTGACTTCGGCCTGCCAATCTTTTGGGAGCACCTGGTGGAAGATCCTGGTGGGGAAGATTTCTGCCCGTAGAGAGGAGACCCTTCAAATGGTAAGAACTATCTGGAGGGTCCAGGGAAGGAGTCAGCGGACACAAGACTCTATCCCTGTGAGGGTCGGCCCAAAGGGGACTCCTGAATCCTACCTGGCTCCATAACCCATGCAGCAGGAAAGCCTGGGCCAGGGGGCTGGAGATCCAGGTTTGAATCTTGCACATGCCGTGTGACCCTCGATCAGTTCCTTCCCTCGCCCATCCTACATTCTCTCATCCAAGAGGCTCACAGTCTTGGGCTGAGATTTCTCATTTTAGCCCTAGTGGGAGCCCTGGGAGCTGAGTGAGGGGATCAGCCCTGGGGGTTTCCTGAAGGGGGTCCTCCCAATCTCTGCCCACTCTGGCGAGCTGCCCCACCCGGCCTGGCTCTGAAGAAGTTGTAGGGGCTTCCTCTCCTGGGAGGGGCTAGGAGAAGACCTACTTGCCAACAGCATAGGCATAGGCCCCCGGCCAGAGATTGGAACGCACGACGGCCAAGGAGTACTGTGGGCAGAGGCTGCAGGACAGCTGGGCAGTCCAGGGTGGCATGTGCATGATTTCTGCAGGGGAGTAGAGAGCACCAGGGAGGTCAGAGGCTCAGCTCGCTGGAGGGGAGGCAGACAGAAAGAAGGCAGGGAGCTAAGAGGGAGAACACGGAGGGGCATGAAGGGAACTGTGGTGTTCGAGCCTTGGCTCTGGACCACTCTCTCGCTGGGTGGCCCCAGGAAGCCACCTCACCTCTCTGAGCCTCAGTGACTGCACCCAAGAAATGGGGATACACATCTCGCGCCCCTTGCAGGGTGGCGGTGAGCCCTGGGGCCCCCTGATAGGGGAGCTGCTGCAATCCCCCTTCCAGGTTGACCATCAGTTTGGCCCCGGGGGCAGAGGGCAGCACACCGGCTCTAGGTTCACAGAAATCTGGGCTCAAATCCAGGCTCTGTCTGCTTGCCCACTCTCAGCCTCTCCTTCCTCCTTCCTCCTGGTGCCTGAGACCCCCAAGCTCAGGAAATTCCTGTCCAGTCTTCCAAAATCCAGCTCAAGTCCCACCTCCTTTGGGGAGGCCTCCCTAACCATCTCTCTCTCCCCCCAACTCCATGTGGGATTCGAAAGACCATATCCCACCATCCAGGCCATTGCCACGTGCCAGACATGGTTCACGAGATGGCTGCATTCCCATAACCCTGTGAGGGAGGCGCTGTCACGATGCCCATTTTATAGATGACAGAACAACAGAGGCTCAGAGAGATGACCTCCCTCAGTCTTCTGCCCCACCTCCTTTCCCAGTCTCCCCCGGGGGCTGGCGGTGTGCGAGGCGAGGACGACCCTTACCTGCATCCTCTGAGAGCGGCGTCAGCAGCGGGGGCCCGACCTCCTGCTCCACCTCCTCTACCCCCTCATCTGCCTTCTCTTCCTCCTCCCCCAGCTCCTCCTCCTCCTCCGTCTTCTGCAAAGGGTTCACCCACGTGCAGCGGCCCTGGAGGTGGGGGGAAGGTCAGGCGGCACCCCTGTGGGGCAGAACCCGGCCCGCACCCTGGGAGGAGATGAAGGGCCAGGCAGGACACTGGGGACTGGCCTGTCCTCAGGGACCCAGGTGTGGGCAGGAGGACAGGGTTAGTCACAGAGGTGTGGGGGATGGGCTGAGAGAGTTGCAGTGGTGAGACGGAGATTCCTGCCCCATCTGTGCAATCATTCATTCATTTATCGTACATTTAATGAGCACCTACTATGTACAGGCACTATTCTAGGTGTGGGGGATACATCCTTGGGAAAAGAGACCCCCACATCTCTGCCTTGTGAAGCTCATATTCAGCAGCCCATACGATCCTCAGCTTGCTCACCCTTGAAATGGGGGTGTCATGGGTGTGTCCTTCATTGGATTGCTGTTGGGTTACATGAGGTACCAAAGAGCCGATAAATGTTTGTTGAATGAATGAACGAACCTAAGTGCACAGCATATGGCAGACTTCAGTTCCATCAACTATGAAATGGGAATGATAGCTGTACTGACCTCAAAAGGAGTTATTTGGATCCAGCAAAACACTGTGGGGTCAATAAATGTTTATTGAATGAGTGAATAAATAAAAAGGTCCTAGGGCCGGCTCCGTGGCTTAGCGGTTAAGTGCGCGCGCTCTGATGCTGGCGGCCTGGGTTCGGATCCCGGGAGCGCCCCGAGGCACCACTTCTCCGTCCAACGTGAGGCCGAGTCCCACGTACAGCAACTAAAAGGATGTGAACCTATGACATACAACT